AATTGTTATTGCTATTCCTGTAACTTGTGCAACTATGTTCTCCTTCTCATTACAATTTGTCATCATTTTCTATCTATACAATTTTTTTTAGATGAAATAATTCAAAAAAATGATTTCTGTTAAAAAAGTATCTGAATCTGGATTGGACTCTTGAGCCAAGAAACGACATTGTACAGAAAAAAATATGAAAAGCAACGATTTTTTTTCATAGAAATGTTATTAATTATATAGAAAATACTGCCAGCATAATGAAAAATGTCTTTATTTATACAGGGTGTTAAAAAAGATTGTAAAATATTTCAGGAGGTAACAGTATAAACCAAAGTAAACAAAAAAGTCGTAATAAACATAAGTCTGCAAAGTAAGGGTTTCGGAGATATGAAATGTGAATATTTTTAGAATTTTCCCAAGAAGCTTCTTTTTTTTTTGTTTTTTACAGATTGAAAAAACGAATAAGTAATCTTCGATATCTCCGAAACCGTTACTTTGCGAACCCATGTTTATTAAGACTTTTTTGTTTGTTTTGGTCCATACTGTTTCCTAAAATATTTTACAATCTTTATTTAACACCCTGTATTTATTTATATTTATTTTGTCGGGATTTACTTTAGTAACAGTGATACATAATCATCTCAGACATTAAAACACTAACAAAATTTTTGATAAATGCTTAGGGCAATCTCAAACATAATTTGCAATTTCTAAAACTGACCTTTTATATCCATTTTAAAAAACATTCCATATAACGTAAAAACTTTAAAAATTCTCACAAAATTTACAACTAAAATGTCAGAAACCCAAAAAATTTCGCAACTACGTAACAATTTACGAGTACATCTCAGACTGCGATAAATTCGGTCAAGATTTTACTTTTAAAGAGCTTGAAATATTTTGTGGCCAAAGTTAAATAAACTGTTGTATGAATCACAGGCATAATTAAAGATTATGGGTTATGCCCTTGATACTACACAAATAGTTATTATAAGACTAAATTTGAAAACACCAATTTTTCTAGTAGGTTGCACCTTGTATTGTAAGTACCGTGCGATCAAAAAATAATAATAAATTAAAGTAGGCGGTGATTAAAGTCCTTCAGATGGCAATCCTGATTTTTTACAAGTTATTATTACAAAAATGCGAAAACTGTGACTGGTCATTTTCCTTTCAGTTTGTGTGGAAAATTTCCAGCCCAAATTCTCAGCCAATGTGTTGCCAACTGTAGAGTATTAAACATCGCCTACTCTAATTTATTTATTTTTTTTTGATCGCACGGTACCTATTATATACAGGTTGATTCAAAAGTGTCGGACCATCTCTCTAGCAACATCGGAAACAAAAAAAATTAAGATGCCTACATGATAACATGAAAATTGCCAGTTGTTTTTTTCCAAAAAAAGCTTGAAACAAAAATCTGAATTCATTTTTATGCTTAGCTGAAAGTCTTCTATCACCGTTCAAGAGTTCGTCCGACACTTTTGAATCATCCTGTATGTATACAAAGCGATAAATTGATCAATTCGGTATTTTCTAAGGATTTCTAAGAATCTTCATTTGTTATATCCCATGGTTAATTTTTAGTTAAAATAAACAGACATTGATTATTTGTTTAAAACTGTTTTGATATCTGTAAAAACTTAATGAATAATGTGACACAGTAATATCGCTGTGAATGATAACACAAAAAATACCGTGCGATCAAATAAAAAATAAATTAGAGTAGACGTCGAATAAATTCTACAATTGGCAATACATTGGCTGAGAAACTGGGCTGGAAATTTTCCACACAAACTAAAAGTGAAAATGACCATCCACCGTTTTCCTCTTGTACAGCAGTAAAAATTTTCTGTTCTAAAGTGAACATTATTTCACACAAAAGGAATAAAACGCAAACTTGTCAAAGTTTCCGCTGACATTTGATGTCAAAAATCAGGATTGCCATCTGAAGGACTTTAATCACTTTTTTTTGATCGCACGGTATAAGAAAACACGACAATTTAGTCCAATGGAATAGCAAATACCACTCAAAACGAAAACTGATAATTGTAAAATTTCAACTATAAATGATTAAGAACAAAATAATTACCTCCATCATCTGCATTCTCCACATCTTTCGAACTTTTACTATTTTTCTTGCTTTTACTTTTCGAAAATTTTCTTATAAGAGACATTTTAGTTCACATCACAAAAATAATTAACGACGGGGAATAACAACGAGCCCACACCTTACGCGAAAACTTCTACACCAATATAATCTTATCTTATCTAAGTAGATGTGATATATTAGTAGTGTAACAAATTTTAACTAAAAAAAGATTTGATCAATGTTTGTATTACGACTGTAAGTAGGTTGATGCACATTACTTATTGTAGGGCTTCTTTTTATTAAAGGTGATGTACAAATACAACAAATGTAAATTAATAATCCTTTGAGTCACTCATAAAGTCTGCAAAGATATTAATTTCGATTACAAAATAGTAAAAATAAATGTCTCATTTCATATCGGATTCTCTTTATGACAACTATTAATTGGAATTTTATTTTAAAACCGATGTAATGAAGTTAAAGTTAGCGTAATTAAAAAAAATGTGTAAAATAAATACTCGTACTCACCGAAATCATTGGAATTTCTACCTATGATATCAAAATGTTTCGTTTCAGTTGTAGGGGATGGTTCTGAAAGTCCACTTTCTGAAACTAAAAAGAACATTATTTATGTCATTAAATCTAAAATATTTTAAGAGCTTTAAATTCCAAAACGAGCCACGTAGCGGCGAGTTGATGAACAAACGATAGCTTGAATGGCTATATACTATTCAATACTATTTTTGTATTTGTGTTTTTATACTGTTTAAAAAAAAAGGAAAATTTTTAAATTGAGGGCATTTTGTGTCAGTTATTGGTGACTTATAGCAGCCAACTCGAACGACTCGAATTAACATTTGTCAATGTGTGTAATCTGAAACTGAATTCTCAAGATTTTACACGTTCGTTTATTGATAGTAATTTACTTCCAACGGCATTGTCACCAACATTAAAAAAATAAATACACTAGGCTAGTAACACACCCAAACGAGTTTGATACTAGCCTTCTTAAAGGCATAAATTAGATAAATAGTTATTTACATTCGCGTATGATAACTGACATTTTACAAGGCGAAATTAATTTGACAGCTACGCGTCGTGTGTTAATAATTGAACCCTTTAATATGATTAACACACAAGACATGTGTTAAAGTTTTTGGCCACAGAGTTTTATTAAAAATTAAAATAAAAAAATGTCAGTGACAAGGACACGTCAGAATAATCGTAATGGCTAACACGCACCACTAAAAGGCGCTATTCCAATTAGAATTAAATATATTTCAGTCATTCAGTAATTAAAAAGTTGTATAAAATGGAATTTCAATAAATAAAGTTTCGTTATGCAAAAGGATATATTTTATAAATGTGCCTAAACGCTGATGTTTTTTGAAAGTTTTTACTGCATACTATGCGTCAAACACGAATTTGACGTTTACAAGTTAGGAGACAAAAAGATCTTTAAAGGCATGTCCAGGAAAAAACAAAGAGGCGACAATTTGAAACAATTTTCCAACTTTTTTCTTTTTCCCAATGAATTGATAAATTGGCCGAAAATATACACTGTGTCAATTTTAAAACTTGCAATCGGCAATTTCTCTTAACTGAAAAAGTTATTAATAATCACTCAAAACCGTTTTGGTGGTTCCTAGGGGGAATTAAAATGACATGATAAGTGACACACCTCCACCCACCCTTGAATATAAAAAAAAATGAAAATTTAACGTCTTGGTTTTTGAATAATTGGAAAAATGGCTTTATCAAATAGGCTGTTGTATGACATTTTTGAAAAGCMCTTGTTATGGGCTTTCCAACGATGTATCACAAGTAGGGTCGTGCCATTTCATTTTCAACTTAAGGTGGCTGTGGCTTGAAGGGTGGGGGAGGAGCGTCACTTGCCATGCCATTTTGATTCCCCCTAAAAACCACCGAAACGGTTTTCAGTGATTCTGAATAACTTTTATAGTTCTAGAGATATTGCCGATTGCAAGTTTTAAAATTGACACCCAGTATATAAAATATTGGAATTTTTTTTGTCTATTAAAAAATAAAAATGCCAAAAATTTTCGTAAAATGAATAACCATTACTTGTTTTGAATTCAATTAAAAAGATGAAAAAAAAACTAGGTTGAGCGCAATACACAAGACAAAAAAGCGACAAAAATGAAATACTTAATCAAATCTAAAATTTAATGCAACTTTGAAAATGTAACTAAAAATAATTTAGGTTAAGTACACACTGTATTCTCCGAAATTCATACCATACCAACAGTGGCAAATTTAGATACAGACCGACTAGGCTAAAGCCTACACCAGTAAATCAACATTAAAAACGCAGAAAAACAGACATAGAAAATAATATAAAAGAAAAAAAGGTTTTTTTGTTGTTGCGTTGTTATATTTAGGTAAGGATAGTTTAACTGTAACCGGTCTAAGAGAAATGAATTATTTTACTACTTTTTCTTTTCCTATTATGAACCTGAGATGACAGTGTTGCCAATAGATTTTTAGTAACAATCATTTACAGTCACCTGATATTAGTGCATTTAAAAAAGCGTAAGTTTTGTATCAAGTTCGTTTTAATTACTCTATTGATGTAAAATTCACTGTTTTGAGATCATTTCATTATAAGAATTAGACATTTTTAGACCATCCTCTCTAGAACACATTACCAAGTACAAGCAAATGAAAACTAAGTAATTTTTTTGGTAAATAAAAGGGCATGTTCTAATTATACACCAATATCAAATGTTCTAAAATTCGTTTAAAACTTAGCACTTAAAGACTGTCAAAACAACAAATCGGCCTTAAAAATAAATGTAGAAGAGTTTTGTACAAAAATATCGTTTATTCTTTAAAATTGGAGATTTTAAGTATTTTGACAGTCAAATCAGGTATAAACTAATAAAAACACCTCTTCCATTATTAACATATATTTTGATAACAGAATGATTACACAAAAAATTATAAATTACTCGTATTTAAGTCAATAGGTCCCTGAACCATAATTTTACTTAATTCTCTAGCGTACTTAATTTCATACAAGAACTTTAATTCTTCGTAGGTTTTAACAATATTCTTCTTTTTAAAATCACAGTCAAGGAGTTTAACCCATAATGCAGAATCTTGTGATTTTTGACATAAACTTATACTCGTTTTAGCTAAAGCCAATACATCAGAAATTTTCAAATAAGACATAATTCTAATTAGAATTTCATATGGCAAATGTTGCAAACAAATGCATATTCCTCCAGTTGTCTCAATGACAGCGACTTTTGCAGGAAAAGCCACCGAGTCTTTAAAACTACGAGACAAGTGGTCCAAATTTTGAAATAAAAAATCTTTGAATTGTACTTTTGACGTTATGAAATACATTAAAGGATCTACAAGAAAGCTAAAATTGCCTACATCTTTTATTGTACAATTAATCAAAAGATCATCTGACACCGACATGCAAGTGAGTCTACACACCAGATAAGGATTTGATTTCAAAATAAAATTCAACTGATAACTACTATCTTTCTTCCAAGCTTCAGGAAGTGTTTTAGAATGTTGTAGCAGTCTCTTGTAGTTAAAATTGTAATCCTCGATTATTTCCGTACAGTTCATTTCGACAAATCCACATTCTAGCATTAATATATAGAGAAATCCAACAATTATATCGTTTTTATCAGGTGCCAATTTATTTCGGTCAAAAAACTCCAAAATGTTAACAATACTCCTGGGCGTTTGTCCATATTTATACTCCTCCAAGAGCATGGGGTCCATAACTGAAATAAAACTCGTGTCACTGTCTTGACTTGCGTGAATTAAACCAATAATAAACAGAAGCCTGTTGATTCACTTTATAGGAATCACAAAAATTTCAAAACTGAACTTGAGTCAAAAATAAATTTCTCGTAACTGGTGTTGGCGTTAGCAAACATAATTTAAAACATTTTATCTCTGATACTAATCAAAGAATGTCAACAATCAACATTGATGAGTGACCACAACATAACCTATAAACTTTCTAAACTTTAGTTTCTCGCTATAATATTTGTTCAATAAGCATTTCATACATACTGATGTGTTATTTCAATTCCGAATTATTTAATTCTCGATAGGAGTGTAATTTAAAGCCACCACATGTTTCGTTACGTCAAATACATACATCTGGATATTTGAATTTTGAGGTTATGTTCCTACCTTGATGGGTCTCGTCTTCTTCCTCGTTTTTGTCAATGGTCATCTGCACAACACTAACATGATTATGAGTACTCGGACTGTTTGACTTAACACTACATCCACTTTCGGCCATTTTACATGATTAACTTCCTTATTTAGCTACCGTTTGTCCCATGTTTAAATGGGTTTATTCGTTTATTTGAGGCACATCATAGAGTGCAGCACCTGTCGGAATTACAACCAACAAACCCATTAGCCAACCCACTACTAATAAAGAAAAATGGACCACCGACTCGCTCTACAGACCATGGTTTTTTCAATATCTACAATTCAATCTCTCACACCTTTAATTGAGAAGAATAATACATCAAGACTACCAGTAGGTAGCATATTTGCTACAATTTTTAACAATTATAAATTCACTAAATTAAATCAATTATGAAAAATAAAAACCAAAAATTAACATGTTAATTTAACATTTTATAAAAACTTTGTTGATTATATAATTTTGAATTCTAATACCAAGCATCGACTCAGTTTTTACCTAAACGAAACACGTGAAAACTTATTTACCTAATTGTCTACTTGTATGAGACTTTCAGAGAATACTTGTCTCCAACAAAAAATTCTTTACTTTTTTTCAAAGACACTCATTTTTAATCATAACTGATAGTACGGTCACTATTATTAGATACAAACTTAATCTTAATATCAATGTTTGTAATTTAATTATATTTTTCATCTAAATAAAAAAAATCTTGTATAAAATATGGTGTAACAATTTTTACGCTTTGTGGTAAAAACACCAAGGTTTTATAACTTTTTGGACGTACAAAAATATTACAAAGTTCATCAATGAATGTTTTCTGCAAGATTATCCATTGTAGATGTTTTCCTGGAATAAATGGAGATGTCGTTTAAAACCACAGTTGGAGACAAATGATAATGACTTTATTTAATTTTTAAAATCAAAATAAATTTAGTTATTTAAAATGGAAACATCAAACAAAGAAAGCACTACTATAAATGACAATTTATTTAACCAAAAAAGTACAAGAAAGTAGGGGCTTCATTCGTGTTTGAACAAATCCCGTTAGAAGTTCCTGTAACAAAACAAAAACAGAACATTAGAACAGATTCAACGATTTTAAAAAAACATGTACATTGTAATAATGACCTACACTAAACCAAAAGGATCTTTAAAATAATCACAATGTTCTTCGTATGTATATTTATTCTAACATCAGAAAATTGGATAAAATATGCTTTAAAAGATATTCTGTCTCGACGGTATAGATTTTTTAAGTACATACCAATATTTTATAAAAAATAAATATAAACAAGTTATTAGAAATTATTTTACTTAGAATCTACAAACTATACTTTTTTAGTGGTAGTAATACAAAAAGTGATTTCTATTTCGATAAAAACGTTACCTACACTAACGCTTTTTTTCAAAACGTTTGCTTTTAAACTTGTAAGAGGACATACTATTCTGTAAAAAAAGTATCGGGAATTTTCGATTTAAAGAGTTCACGTAGAAGATATCTTAATAATTCTTGTCTATTATATTGGTACAACCATACTCTCTTACCAAGCCAAAATTTACCGCTATAGGTCAAGTGGTTTGTTTAAAATTGTTTTTACCATAACTTGTGGTTAAGTCAGATTTGCGCTTTTTGTCATGACTTCCATTAGCGACCTGAGAATTTGTTTGAAATTTTGTGTTGCTAACGAAAATTCGTGTAGTGAATCTCTGTTTTGCGAAAAACCTTTGGGGACTCAAAAACACAAGCATATGAGTGGTACAAAACATTTCAACTGGGCCAGAAAGAGGTTACCAACTTTCCTCGTTCTGGACGATCGTCAACAGCAAAGACGGTAGAAAATGTTACTTATGTTTGAGAGTAAAATTATTTAGCCGTGTTGGAAATCATTTTAAGTAACTGTACATTTAATTTTTATATAAATAAAAACCGTAAATTTGATAAATTATTTGACATTTCTTACCGGCCGTGGTGTAAAATAAAACTGTCTAGGCCATAAACATGTGGCTACCGGACTCGTCATCAAGACTGTAGACACGTGTTATCAGTACAGTATACTAAAAAGTTTTTATAATTTTTTGAGAATGTTATAAATCTGCGTAGATGTTTGTATTTTTTAAAACAATATCATTTCAAATTACATGTTTCAAATTCTTAGAACACATGTAATTTACGTCCATAGTGCACCTATTTGTAACGATTATTTAAAAAACAATTCGTTTTAATATGATGATTTATTTTTGAGATACAATTTTTTCTTATTACGAAGTAGTTAACTTTGTACAGTGATGGACAGTGAATTTCGTCCACCCAATTTTCATGAATTCACAAAAATTCACTGTACTCTGTGCTTTATTGTCGTGATAACTGACCTTCAAATACGTATTGTCAAATTTAATCAAATTTGAACATGTCAGCAGTAAGTGCGTTATGTGTTTAATAAAATAAAAGTTATCTCCTTGGTACAAGAAGGTATGTCTCAAAGACGTGTCTCTATACTTTTTTCAAAGGACAAAGGTAAAAAGTAGCAAGGAGCATCGGGCATTCTGTCAACATGACAAACGTTAATCAAAATTCTGAAACAAGGTTAGAAAAACCTAAAGAATAATCTTTTAATCTGTCAGGGAAATTGGGTGGACGAAATTCACTGTCCATCACTGTCCTGCTTCTCTACCATACATCAAAAAAACAGTGAAATACTCGCATTATTTCACTTTTACACGTCCTTTAACATTTATCTCAACTTTACAAAAATTTAAAGACAAGTTTGACATTTACCATGGACGTTTGAATCAAGACTGCCAAATTAAGATTTCAAATTTGATGTTAACCGGAGAATGAGAGGAAGTAATATTTTCCTCTTAACACTGTACTAGGGTTTTTTTAAACAGAAATGTCAAACAGTCTTAACGTTGACACCACTAGCAAATTCATTTATGGTAATTTTAATAAAGAAAGTTGACAGTTCCAGTTTTTGATTCACGTTTACTTAGCGTCATCAAAATAAATCGTCTAAGAAAAATTGTAGACGAAAAAAGTGCAAACAGAAATCAGAAAAAGACCAATGTCAAGATTTAGATGCAATTTATAATGCAGGCTTGCTTAACATTTTCCAATTTTTAGCAAAAAATTGACGAAAACATTAAATAAACATAAATGAAAAAGAACACAATTAAATTAGTGTCAGTTTTTTGAGGAACGAGTTGAAAAAGTAACAATTTTAAAATTAAAGCTGAAGAAAAATTTAGAAAATTACATAAAATTTATTGCCAGTCTTCATAATACCTGCTTGTAACTTTTGCACAATAATTAAATAATAAATAATAACCTGGACATTGATAAGGTACATTTCATAATTTTTCATTTACAAAGCCAAAAAAAAAAATAATAAAAAGTAATTTTCTCCCAAAAAGTTAAATTCTAATTTTTATACTGACACACAGATTCACTTCCTGTAATTGTTTACAAAATCAGAAGAAAAAAAAACAATTAGATTCTGAATTAAACGCAATTTTCCATCTTTTTTATTTATGACCTGCTACTTAGGCCATCGTAAATTTAGGTGACAAATGGGAAGTAAGATTTCAAGATTTACTACAACAGGAGACTTCAAACTGGTCGGCTACTAGTAAATCATTCTTTTGTTAGCAAATTATACCATTTAGTCCTAAATCAACCAAATCTGGTTTGTGTTTAAGTAAAAAAAAGCGATTATTTAGCTAACCAAGTCAAAAGTAATTGTGATATTAAAGTTTGATGCCTGCCCTAGCAGGTTAAGATTCATTTAGTGTAAAAACTTTATAGGTAAATTAATAAAAAGTATTCATAAAACACACAAAACTGTTATGATTAACAAAAAAAATTAGAAAAACTCTCAAATAAACCCTATCAATAATTACTCAGGTGTATGAAATATCGAAAGTTTTAATTAATTAGAAGTCGCAATTTATCAAGTATGCGTAACCTATGTCCCTCCCGGTATAGAATCAGTTTTCAGAAACGAATTTGCTTTGTCATGGGCTGCCCATTTAACTCTGAATCTCTGTTTCGTCCAGAAAATGAGCCAGAGAGTTTCAGGAAACGTTATAATATAATTTTTAATAGGTAATCTTTTTCTGAAAATGAAATTTTGTCCAAAACATGTATTTTGATTTTAACAAAAATAAAGAAAGAAGACTCAAAATTGCGGTTCATTCTAGTTTTTGGTCCGGTTGAAGAATGATGCCACACAGAAACTTTTAAAAACCATTGAGTAGGCGTTCTGTGCACTTTATTACTTACTTTGCAAGAATCCCATCTTTCTTCGTTAATCTAACGATACAGTCGTCAGATTCCCCCATTCTTCGGATAGCCCCACACAAAGCGTAACTTTTAGTGGTGTCAGTCATCCTTCCTGTCTGAGGATCAACCTCAGCAATGCTCAATTGGATCGAAGCATGATCCTTGGCATGAATAATTCGGTTACTTGCTGAACTGAAACATCAGAACCAAATTAAATCGGGTCACAAAGCGGAAGCCACACAGCAAGTGAGGTTACAGGTTAACAAACACGTGGCCATAAAAACATACCATTTCCTTGGGCAATACAAGTCAACGAATTCACCTGCGTCGTTTTCCATTTTGAGTTGCCTAAAATTAACAAAAATACTCCAAAAGCAATAACAAACTCGTAAAACTTACAAAGAATACCACTCGGTAGATCAATGTCAATGAAAAGGAAGCTTTAGAAAATGACCGTAAGTGGCGCTATAATTGTTTGACATAAGGTGGCGCCAAATTTAAAATAATTAAAATGGCGCGTGCGCTTATTGATTTAAAAACAAGTGTGTTCAATATTTGAGCAAATTCTCCAAGTTCAAGTAAAACACGTCAACGTATAACCAACAATGTTTTCTCACCTGAACGATTACGTAACCGTAACACGAGGATATAACACACTTATACGAATTCCGACGCAGTCTGTCTTGGAAAGTTGAACTGGTTAGAACGTACGAGAGTAAACACGGTGATTTTTGGATACGATTTTGGGTCAGCATGTCGTTGAAGGTTGGTGATTGTTGTCTTAAAACTAGGTATTTTCTTATTTACATTAATTAATTTTAAGACGACTGCGATTGTATATTTTTTAGGTGATATAAATAACCACAGGCGTGCTAGTTTTCTAAAAAGCATCGTCGAATATTCTCAAACTTTAATATTTTGCTCTCTGCTTTATAAATAAACATTATTTCTGTTTATTTACAGAAAGAATCGTTGTCAGATGTTCAACTACATCTAGCGGCCCTAAATGGAGATTTGCCTTTACTCAAAAAAATTCTAGATAGCGGCAAGGTTCATGTAGATTCCAGAGACAAGGTAGTGAAAATTTTGGTATAAATATTACTGTATTAATATTTGTGACTAGACGTTCATATAAAAATCGTTTGTCAAGTGGAGCGTGGAAGTAGGTCAATTCTACTATAAAAAAAGGCGTGCAGAAATTGTTCAGTTACCACTATTAATTTTTTAACAAAAAAATTTTAAGATGTTTTTGTTTTATCTCTATTATTATAATTTTTTGGTAGGAAGGGACAACTCCTCTCATTTTAGCCTCAGCCAATGGTCACTTGGACTGTGTCCATGAACTTTTAGAGCAAGGCGCCGATCCTAGATCTAAACGAATTGTAAGAAACAATAATTTGTTATTTTTCTTAAAAGTAAAATTGCAGACGGGAACAACTCCACTGTTTTTTGCTGCTCAAGGAGGTCATTTAGATGTTGTTAACATTCTACTGGACAAAGGAGCACCTTTGGATTCAACCAGTGTTGTAAGTGTACCGCTACAACTGTAATAAAAAGACAGTTGTTGCAGAGATGAAATTTACGTAAATAGAAGCAGTAAATGAATGTAATTAAGAACCGTATGATTGTATAGGATGGAGGAAGTGCGTTGTTTGTGGCATGCCAGTGTGGACATATGGATGTGGTTAAAGAATTGGTTAAAAGAGGTGCTAAAATTAATACACATATGAAGGTAAGTAAGACTTTTTCTACGAATTTCATGATGCAGTTTTATCTAATTGCAGGATAAAGCAACACCACTTTTTATTGCTGCTCAAAATGGACATTATAAAGTTCTGGTATTTTTGTTAGCACAAGGAGCCAATGTGGATGCAAGTAGAACAGACGGTGCGACGCCTTTGTGGATTGCAGCCCAAATGGGCCATGATCATATTGTAGCACAATTATTAAAAGCTGGAGCTAAAGTAGACGCAGCTCGATATGTAAAAGACATTTTTTTATCAATACATTTTTTACCATGATTTTTACAGGATGGAGCTACAGCCATATTTAAAGCTTCTCACAAAGGCCATTCTGCGGTTATTGGGGAATTACTGAAATATAAGCCCTCACTTGCTCTTTTATCGGTAAGTGAATTTCATAATAAAATTTTACAAAACTGTCAAAAGGAAAAAAATTTCGATTAAAAACTTGTGCTGTTTTGTCTAAATTTAATCAATTTCTTCCTAAATTCGCTTGAGTTATTTACATTGATCTTGATTTATTTTTTCCACAGAATGGCGAAAGCGCCTTACATGCTGCTGCTTTATCCGGAAGCCTTCCAGTTTGTAAACAACTCATCGCTGCAGGCGCTGATCCTTCCTTGAAAAACCAAGAGGGTTTTACTCCTCTAGAAGTGGCACAAAAACATAAACATAATATCGTCAGTGATTATCTAAGAAATTGTGCAAATCGACAGTTATTACCGAATAAATGATAATTCTAGAGTCTAGTATTTGTTATTATAATTTAATACCTATGTTAAGCAAAGTTTGTTATTTTTGTTGTTTTTTTATAATACATAATTATATGGCCATTTACATAAAAAATATATTTTTGCGTTTTCTTTTTTGTAAATTTAAACAGACAACCTGACTACCATGCAGTAATTTACTTAGATGTTTATAGTAGTACTAAAAGAGGCAGAGACCAATAATTAGAAAAAAACGTTTGGTTCTATAGGGTGCGCCAGAACTCGCGCCCCAGAGAAAAATGTCATATAAGATAAGATACCAGGAACATGGAAAAAATGTTATTTATAAAAATTTCGAAGGGTTTAAAGTTTGCACTTTGACGCTATTTATTTCTATTGGAAAAATAATTTTCCAAGTTTTTTTGCTACAGGCTATTAAAAGAGGAAACAAGGAAGCTGTATCCTAAATTGTAACTCTGTTAAATGTTATTTGTGGCTTTTATTGGCAAATTTTTTGTCCCTTTACTAAATAATTGTAAAAAAAACATATACAAGATCATCAGTATCATTAAATAGATATAAAAAAAAATTAAATGTCAAAAAATAAATGTCAAAATTTTTTGACTAGATAGAATTTTTTAAACATTTTTTTCATGTTCCTGGTATCTTACCTTACTTGAAAATTTTCTCTGGGGCGCGAGTTCTGGCGCATCCTGTATACTTTTTATTCACCTGGTATGTCTTTTTATTTTCACTTATTTCAACGTTTTTGATAATTTTCCAAACTTTATTAGCTTTGGCCATCTTAGAGTCGTGCAGCAGTAAGCAAAATATGTAATTGAATAGCTAAGTGGAAAACGGTAACAATTACTTACAAAATCTTACATTAAAATTAAAAGTTTATTACTTTTACCTAATCACTAATACAAGCTGGATTATAAAAAAACGCCCCAAGTCAAAATTTCATTATTTGATCAAAATTGAACAGTTTTTTGTTATCAGTCGATTGCTTGTCTTAAAATGAAAAAAAAATGTTTTTGTTTTTCCAAAACTTTAAAGAACTTTTAACAACTCTTTTAAATTTTTCGATTTTTTTTTCTTTTTCAAAAGTACTATTTTTTGCATTTTACTCATTATCAATTATAACTTTTTTTTTCATTGTCACTTTCGAATGTTAAATTAAGTAAGTCGAATACCACGCTAGGTCAAAATAATGATAGCCTTGGTAGGTATTATTTAAAGCTTAAAAGTTGAGTAGTGCTTTTTCAGACAATATCTGGGTAACTAAAAAACTTTTATCCGCAAACGTCACAAAAGTGATGACTTTTATTACTAAATGTTACAAATAAAAATTGAGTGGTGTAAAAATTCTAATTTTACGCTTAAGCAAACTTGTGGAATATTGTAGATCATCAGCATTCCACATTTTGCACTACTAACTGCACTAGTCATCCACTAATTAAATTAATAAACACTTTCAAAAATCTCAACACACATTTTGATACTGACGCGTGATGTTTGTTTATAAGCGTTGATTTCATTAGTTGCAAAGCGTCCTGATTATTTTGTTCATTTACTTGCTGATTATAAAGTTGCTCTTTACTCTCGATCTGAAATCGTTTGCGAATAAAATAATATGTCTTATTCAAAATAGAAGTCAATTTATGTGGCTCAGCTAAAATAAATGTTTAGCTTCGCCACATAAAATATCCACTACTTTTACTCCTAATAACATAATGTGCTATGTACTATCCGTTATTATTGAGCAAAGATTATCATTCTCTATTTTTCTGTATGTGTATCAATAAGGCTGACCCTGTATTATAAATTATAAGTTATAAGTACGGATACCTAAAGACTAGGATACGACACGATGTAAAACAAAACGTCCCCGTTCTCGTTAGTTCCGTTAGCGAGGCCAGATAGCGCAGTTGTTCCTTTCCCGTTTAAGTTTTAAGAGCAATGAAATAAAAAAATGGCTGTATTTACATAATGGTGAGCAAAACGCAAATAAAAAAATATAGACATATAGAGCATTTAATTCTTAATAAAAAGATATAAAGGCAATGCAAAAATTTTATTGAAAACTATATTTAAAAAAATTTCAAACATTTAGCAATTTGCGCCTTTTCTCATATTTTTGAAAATGCTGCGAATACGGTTAAAGATACAAGAAAAATATAAAAAAGAAAGTTGTAGACAATCAAATTTTCAAGAAAAAAGACCGCGAGATGATGCCTTTATCTTCAATGGTTTAGGTCCTAAAGGCGTTCAAAGATGCTCGGGTCATTTTTACATGTGGTCAAGAGACAGAAAATTAATTTAAATCTAAACGGTTGAAGATAGAGATATGGTCTCGCGGACTTTTTTGTGGGAAATTTAATTCTCTACAACTTTGTTCCCTACGCTTTTTTGTTTCTTCAACCGTATTCGCAGCGTTCTCAAAAATATCGAAAACAGTGTTAAAAATAAATTATAAACAATTATCAGATTGCGTTCCGCCCAATATTTTTAAGAACGCTGCGAATGTGGTTAAAGATACAAAAGAAGTGTAAGAAACAAAATTGAAGAGAATAAAACTTGCTATAAAAAAGTCCGCGACACCAGATTTCTATCTTCAACAGTTTAGGTTTAAATTGCTTTAAAATGTTCCTCTGGCACTGAATCACCAGTAAAAATGCAACGAATCCGTCGCTTGAGCGGCTTTGAAAGTCTTTGAGGCCTAAACCATTAAAGATAGAAGTATGGTGTCGCGGACTTTTTACTAGAAAATTTTATTTTCTACAACTTTTATTCTTACATTTTTCTTGTATCTTTAACCGTATTCGCAGCATTTTGAAAAACATGAAGCGGAGCACAGATTTTAAATTTTAAATATTTTTTTTCTCATATTTCCCGTGACAAATTTAATCGTTTGATTTTCACAGCTTATTAAGAATATAAATATCAACAGTTTTGCCTTTTTTCCAAGCAATCAGTAAAGTGGTTGAATTTAAATTAATTAAAAACGATTTGAAACTGAGACGGTAAAACGCTCTAAGCGCCCTC